GAATTTGAATGTTAAGTTCTTTCTGGAAGAAAGATCTCAATGTCACAGTCCATGGTTGCTATAGCGATCAAAATTCACCTATGTTGAGAAGCCAACAGGAAGAAGGACTTAGTATGTCTTGGACATGTGGATGGCACATAAGTGTTGAGAGAAGCAGTGAGCAAAATAGACCAATATATTAGTTTCTCTTTAAAAAACTTATTTTATTTTTTTCATAGTCAAATGTATGCTGCATGATTTAATTGAGATATAAATATAAAATGTTTTCTTCAGTATTATTCGCTTAACATCTAGAAATTATTAATAATGTATATTCCAAATTTTTATACATTAAATCATAGAAAAGTATACCTACGTGGAATTTTAATGCAAATTAAGTCAATTCTCACATTTTTTTTTATGTGACAAAGGGATATTCTGATCACTAAACTGACTGCAAATGGACATAGTAGTTTTTTTGGCTTTAGAGATATTATGCTTAGCAAATAAAAAAAAACAGGATGCTCAGGTAAATTTTAATTCCAAATAAGCAATAAAGAACTTTTTAAATATAAGATATCCATGTACTACTTGGGACAAAAAAATTATACTAAAAATATTCATTATTTGTCTGAAACTCAAACCTTACTGGATGTCCTGTATATTATCTGGCAATCTTATTCATATTTAAAATTCTCTGTGTCCCCTCACCAATTAGAACGTCCTCTCCAAAAATACTCTCAGTGTGTTGCAAATTTCTGTTATGCACTAAAACTGAAAGACCGTACAAAGAAGAGATCACTAAAGGAGAGACAGTTGGGAAAGGGTACACATGACCTTTGTAAAAAATAAATTATAGAAATCTATGAGGTTCAAATCATCCCCACTAGTCCAAAATGTGTTTAGCCAATGCTTCTTCCACTGTGGGTCATGACACATGTGGACTGAGAAATCAGTTTCTTGAGTTGTGACCACATATTTTTAATAAATTATGGTAATCTAGAACAGAAACTATCATCATGTAATCATGTGTAATAAAGATTAATATTTTTGAAAATTTTGTTTCCATTGTACATTTGTGTGTATGTCTGTCTGCTGGGTCACTATTGTTTTAGTGCCATTTCTAGCAACAGAAAGTTAATCCAAAATCAGCCACAAGAATTGACTATTGTCCTTTGGCTCAGACCCAATTTTCCACGGGAGCTCAAGGATGAGGGTCATACTAACTGATATGGCAAGCAGCCACATACAGCACTCTACCTGTCCCCAGTGTATAAGGAAAGGGGGCTTTATCTGAAGGGAAAAAGAGTTTATAAGTGGATATAAACAGGGTGGCAAGAAAACAACTTAAACAGCAGTCGACACTTCCCCATTCTGGCTGGGTAAGATCTCTTGGATCATCACTGTCAAAAAAAAAAAAAAAAAAGTTAAAGCATAACTTGGTGACTATTTTAACAAAGTCACATGTGAGACAGACTTCTATGTTAACCTAGAAACCTGTCTTCTAGAATAAACACATTATCAATTTTTCTGGGCTACACTTCTTAGACATGTAGCCTATGGAACATTTCCTTTTGAATTCTTTGTTTTTAAGTAGTTCAGTACCTTATACTTCTATCTTAAGTTCTATTTTTCCTCCATTAGATAGTAAAACATGATATCTGGCTAATGACATTTTAAAAGAGTATGCTGATTGTAAGTATTGATTATGTTTTCCTGACTTGAGTAACATTTTAAAGAGCTGGATTAAATAGAAATGACTCAAAACACAAACAGGTTTCTGGTGGTGACTTACTTGGCCAGTGTGAGCATGCTCAGAAACAGCTCTGCATGGTACACCTGGTGAAATAGGCAACTCTTTGTACTCACACAGGGTGAGAAAGGAGTTGACACTTATTTTTCTGTAACTTTTTTTTCTCTGTCAAATATGTTGAAATCTTAAAGTTATAAAATATAATGAGACAACCTTTATTATTTTTTCTTCAAATCTGCAACAAAAGATCTGGTAAAAACATTTAAAAAATACTAAATTACATTTGGACACAGTGTTGTTTTTGTTACATTGACTGTTGATGTTCATTTTTGCTTACCATAGAAGGGACAACAAAGAAAAGCACCTCCAATCTAGGTGTATATATACAAACCAATTTAAAAACAATTTTTTTAAAAAAATCTCTGAATTAGACATTATACTAACTACCAACTAAACTGAATCAATGAATACCGTTGAATTCAAAGCACTAGCAAATTCAAACATCACAAAGAAGTGAAACAAAAGACATCAAAGGAAAAAGATTGAGACAGACTCCGCTGTTGATCTGTTGATGTTTCTGAGCATTTATATGAAATGGAATGAAGAGTTAAACAGTGGTATTTGTGAAAGAGTGATGATCTTAGCCCTATGCCAAGAATGTGGGATCATAATTTGGGATGCTCTTACCCTCTTACAATTGTTTCTTCTTTCTGGTGTGATATGTAGTGTTGACATTTGTCACAGGAAAAGGAATATTTATATTCTACAATTTCTAAGCGCACCTTGAGAGCTGAGCACTTTTACGGAGGGCAATTTTGCATTTGCCAAAGAAATAATATCCTAGAAAACGAATAAGAAATAAATATCCTCAGATTAATGCTATATAAATACATTTGCTATAGGTTTCATCAAATATTCATGTTACACACATGTACAGGTCAAATTACCTTTAAATATTAAATTTCTTTCCAGTGGTGGAGAATTTCAAATTTTTCAGTGTTTGTAAGGAGCAGAGATGGAACCCAGGCATTATTATCTTCTTGGAAATTCAGCTTCTGGTTTAACTGAGTATCTAAGGTTATGAGGGGCTTCACTGCTCCCCCACACACACACACACAAAATGTAAAACTGCTCAGATTTCTTTTCTGTGTTCTACAAATCACAACTCCAATTTAAAGACGTACTAAACACATAAGCATTTTACACCTACTTTAAAGAAGAAATGACCTGTTTGGTGTAACCTGCACAAGACACCTAAGGCACATTACACAATATAACTTAATACAACCAGACCACTGAAGTAGGGATGATTCTCCTTACACACAAAATCTAAGTGATAGAGCTATGCATGAATCCAGGAAATGGCAGAAGCTGGATACAAACCTGGTTCAACGGGACCCAGCCATTTAAGACTGTCACTGGTAACATCAATTATCACACAGGCAATATGGATCAGTGTTTTCAAAGCATTAACAAACTGAACAAGTGAATCATTGGCTACATTCTGCTTGTGCACTGCAGGTGGGAAACAATTTGAATTTAAGTCTGCTGAATTTGCATTTGGATTCGGTTTCTGCCTTTGACTATTACAATGTGCTTAGCAATTTAGCATTATTCAGGTTTTTTTAATCAAAGTTAAGGCAGGGATAATATTACAGGTATTGCCTATCCCACAGTAGTGTCAGAACATCAGTTGAGATAATAAACCGGCCGGTTGTAAGAAAAATACCAAGTCCAAAACAAATGTAGGGGTCATGAGTTCCTCATTATCTTTCCTGAACAAGAGGTTGGATGAGATCCTCTCATCCATTCACCACCTCAAATACTGTTGTCACCTCTATGGAGATGACCCCATATTCAGACCTCAAATATATTCCTACTGTGCCCTCAATTGAGACTGTTAATGTCTCTCCAAATATGCTTTACATAGGAGCTCTTTGAAGAGTGTAGAAAGAAGACATTTAACATTCAGGTTTAAACATACCATATTTTAATTTGCCCAAACAATTTTCCATCTAAACTGGGACAGGTATAGAGTGCTATCAATAAGTATGCTTTGAAAAGAGGTTTAAACCCCAGACAGAGTGAGACTAGTGATCACCCTGCACAGGGCAGGGTGAATAAGTGACAATGTCAAAGAGAACTTCAGGAGCAGGGCAGAGAGCCAGGCACCTGAGCCTCTGCTGGCAGTGTGGAGAGACTCAAGGAAGTAGCTTCTGGGAAAGGAGAGGTGACAAGGACTCATGCTGCTTCCCCATCTGACACTTACCTGCAGCACCATCTGTAACACCTATTCAGAGCCCGGAAGTCCCATGGCCTCTGGGGAAAATGGGAGCCCTCCAATGCAACCTGATGGACCCTGAGTTGGTGATGGATACTCTCAGAGGGCAGTGGCAACCGTGGTTCAAAAAATCACACCCAACTAAAGACATCCTTTGACAACCCTTTAGCAGGCTCTGATATGTTTAATAGGCCTCCCATATAACTGCTGCCTTCTGCCTAGTTGAATGAATCACTTCACACATAATCACACCACACAGAATGCTTGCATACACACACACATATATGCTTACACACATACACACTCATGTTACACATACGTACACACCACAAGGTTCCTACCACTTTAAGCCTGATTTTCCCAATAAGCTACCTTCCCATTTTGCAGAACATACACCAGTAGGAAAACAAACAAACAAAAACACTAACATGTGATCATTCAAATTATGAGTGTTAAAAGGAAAATGTTATTGGTGCTCAGAGAGATGAGTGCTGAGGCCACAAGATGTTGTCCAAGACCGTAGGTGATTGTTTCTCTGAAGATCCTGATGGCAGCAAAATGAACAGAAATCCTGGGTCTCCCTGATGCTCTTGACCCTTCTTATCTGTTTGGATCACATGTCCTGCTGGAATTTACTAAAGTGCATTATTATAATCTACAATGGATCATCACTGGGTCTCCACACCACTGAGTAGATGTGAACCACCACCCAGGCTATGTGAGGAAACAAGAAACTTACATTTGTTCAAGCCATTGTATTTGATGATCTTTGTTCTGGAAACCTAGCCTGTGGTCAATAAACAATAGTCCTCAAAACATTTTTAACCTTTAAAATGGGGCATTATTCTATATATGAGGAAACTGAATTACAAAAGTTTTAGTTACTTTCTGTTAAACAGAATAGCCCAGACTTAAATACCTCCCTTCTCTCTCTCTCTCTCTCTCTCTCTCTCTCTCTCTCTCTCTCTCTCTCTCTTTATTTGTTTTTGGCAAGCCTATGTTTGGACATTTTACTTATACAATTGAATATTTTCTCTTAACAATAAAAATTAATATTTTTCAATTAGTATTCCACTTTGATTTTTAAAAAATACAAAGGAAAGAAGCCTGGATTCAGTGGCCATTAAATTTCTTAACTATCATAAAATTGTAAAATTATTTAGCAAGCAGAATATTATGTCAAATAAAAGAAAAATGTCCTTATGTTTAAAGAGGTTTTGTGTAATACCTTAAATTAACTGGTGTATCTTCACCCATAGGTTCTGCAGCATCAGGTCTCAGGATCTTGAAGAAGGACCACAAATAAATTACTAATAACTGAAAATTTTAGGAGAACTCAGTGACTAAATTTCTACCTTCTCTTAGCCCAACTTATTTTCTTCTAGATTTTAGCCTCTCTTAAGTAAGGAATCTCTATAAGATTAGACATTTTATCTATAAAATTCACATAGTTCTGAGCCCAGCAGGGATGTTAGAATATGCTTATTCACTTAGATTATACAACAGCCCAGTTGTAGCTCTAGACTCTGAGAATTAAAGAAGTATTTGCATGGTGTTTTACAGTTTATAAATCTTTTTACAAGTGATATTTTAGGTACAATTACTCTTATTATTTTCTATATAAGATGTAGTAGCTAACACTGAGAAAATTGTAAAGGGTTTACTGAGGAGACACAGCTTTTATAAGTCGTGTTTTGACAAGCCCAATGTGCATCTTTTCACTCAGCATCCTAGGATCTTGTGTGTATGCCATTGCAGGCTCTGCTGAATGAATGGGTACATCAATCAATCAATCAGTTAATCAATGAAACCATCATAAAATGAGCAGTAAACTCATGTTGCAAAGCAACCAGCTAATTGATGATCCATGCTAAGGTTTTTATTTATGTGTTCTTAATCATTGTTATTTTTTTTCTGGAAAAGATAAAGCAGATGAAAACTAAACATAAAAATATAACCAAAGAGATCCCACCTAAAACAAGAGTCAAAAAAGTGCCTCTAGCTAGATCCACATGTTGTCAAAGGGCCTGTGTGGGTGTTTTCACTCGAGGAAAATCCTTGAGTGATGGAAGGTATCCCTGCTTGATGGAAGGTACTCACCAAGAGCTGAATTTTTGGCATCTCAGTCCAAGTGGTTCCTTATTGGCCATGACCATTGTCATAAGGCTGGATTTAACTTCAGAAGTACTGCATGCCATCTGGCTCTAAAGAACAAATCTATTTTTATACAAATTTGCAATGAGGGAAAAAAAATGTTACATATATGCTCAGCACTGGATGAACTTCCATTTTTAACAGGACTAACTTTCACTCTTCTTCCTCAGGGGCTCCAAAGTGGGTGGGCTCTTTCCCTCTGCTACAGGCCTTATCTCCGTTACGTTGTACGATTAGGATCCCAAAGTCACTGAACAAACAGGGTCGGATTCTCCATAACAGACCTTTAGTTCATATACATTTCCCTGGCTTTCGTTTGAGAAGTCAGAGAATGGCTATCATCTCCACACTAATAATATCCTTCAGTAAATGATAAAGTCAAGTCCAAAGTAAACTGAGAAGCTTTATCAGCATGTCAAAGCTATCCCCTTACAGCTCTGTACTTGCCAACTGTGCATCCTTTTCCTAGACAAAGACTTGATGCACATTAAAAGGCACTTACCAGAGTGGGTGTTTGTTTGCCAAAGGAGAGTAGGCTGCCCTCTGGTTCCAGTCACCCTGGTTGTCACTCTCATCAGAGGAAGAGAGGGATATGTTACAGTCAGACTCCTTCCTTGATGATCTCTTGAATCGAATCCGGGGGAGAGTCAATGTTTCCTGCTAAAGTTATTCCTTCTCTTTCTCCTTGTTAATATTAATTGATGGACTTCTCAGAGGGAAAGTATATTTCTTACTGGGAATCAAGAGAACGTTGTGGTCGACCAGTTACTCTTCCACTCTGCTGTCAGAGAAGATGAGTCAAAAGGGATTTACACACCCAGTTAATTCTAACAGATGGCTCTTCCCCTGTACTCAGAGAGAAGTTCAAAATCAACCCACATTTCTCTCTAATTCCAAATTAGGCAAATTAGCACACTGGCCTTGATTGTTGGTGAACAAATTTTTTTTTAAAAAAAAAGGACACAATGCAAATAACGAAAGATAGGAAAAATTTAGAAAGCTTCATATCTCAATTCATTCAGAATTCTGTGCCTCTTTTGACATGCAAATGATGGTTCTCTCTAAAACAGTCAAAATGGTGAGGGTTTTCTTTGCCTTTCCTTCCTTTTCTTTTTGTGTATGTGATTTATCACCATAGGTTACTATGTTCATACATATACTTGTATAATTTCTGCAAAAGAATATGTAAATGCACAGAATGTACATATTGTATATGTTTCACATCCCCAAGCACATGGGTCTATGTAGCCAATAAAAAGAACAATGGGAAATTGCCTACATTGGAAAACAACAGTCTGTGGCAGGTTTTCTTGGCTTTTTGTGCAATTGTATACTAATATTCCCCTGGGATTGGATGGCTCAAGGAAAGTGTGATGGGATATGAAGCCTTTTGTCATAAAATCCCAATATAAAAATTCTGTCAAGATTGATAGGGACAGAAGTGTACATACCACTGTTGCTGCATTGGTTTCATTTCAAGCACAGCATGCTTCTGAATGATCTGTCATTGCCATCAGATCTGAAGAAAAGCAAAGCATCGGAGAGAAACTTCCCATTGCCACCTATAGGTTGTAAGAAGAAGGTCCAGGTGACAGCTGCAAGGCTCCAGGAAGCAGCAATGCACATTTGCATTGCCTGATTCATTCTTTCACAAACATTTCTCATGCCACAAGTGGGCAAGTTGTGGAGGATACAGAGTTGAAGAAGAAGCACACTCTGTCTTTGGGAGCACCTGTTCTGAGGACCAGAGAGACACTGTGAGACAAGCACTTGACAGATGTGGCCTTCATCCAAAAGGTGATAATTTGAACCTTACTGAATACTCTAAAGTGTCAATAGGAGTTTTCCAGGTGGAGGAAATCAGTGGTATTATAGATTAAGAGAAATGGTAGAAGAAAAGATGTAATGGCACAGAAAACATGCCATATGTTCAAAGAGCTACAAGAAAGTCTCTGTTTGACTGCAAATTGCCCTACCCTTCATGTCAAGGGAATAGGGTGGTGTAGGAAAGGAGGCCAAATGTGAAAGGAAGGAAGAACAGACTTTGAAAGACCTGTGTGCCATGCTATGGTATTTGGATTTTATGCTAAGGTCAAGATTGCTTCCCTTTCTGAACCATGATGTCACTTGATCATGAGATTCTGATTGACCCATTTGGGCCATATGTGGGAGCATTAATAGCCTGACCAGCAAAGTGAGGAAATAAAAATAAGATTGACAAGGACAAAGTAATGAGCATGAACACATGCAAACATGGTCTAAACTCTGCTGAACTGCTCCAAATCACTAATGTTCAATTACCATTGACTATATCATCCTGACGTGTTCAGACAACATTTGTTTCTCTGAAATAGGATCAGTGTTTTCAAAAAATGAGAACTTTTATTAAATCATGATTGTATGTCACATATTTTGGGCTGTCTAGCCAACTCACACTATTCTTATCTTGGAGAGTTATCTTCCCCTCTCCAGGGAAAGATATTTAGCTGTGGCCATGTATGAGTTTTACCCTCTGCTCCTCTGGCCAAAGGATTATTAAACTACCTCACCAAGTTGGAACTATTAGGCTTTCTCTCACATGAACTTTTTCACTTTAACAAGAGAATTGCTGGGAGCTAAATCAACTCATGATGTATTTCAATAGGGAAAAGATAGAATCAACTGTTCTTTGACATCCCAGGATCGAAAAGTTTCCATGCTTTCTAAGGCCATTTAATCCATTTCTTCCGTGAAAACATCAGTATCTTTCCAATAAACAGCCTTTTTTGCTTAAGCTAGCTCAAGTTATTTTCTGTTGATTCCAAATCAAAGAAACCAACAAGAGTTTGTTCTATTTTTATACTTTATTAGTTTTAATTATTATAAATCTTCTTGGTGATTTTCCCTTGAAAGATAGTGATGTATTCCTAAGAATTAAAAAAAAAAAAGTTTCTATTTATTTTGAGAGCAACAGCATGAGAAGCCAGCAAACATCCAGTTGAAAATTTTATGTTCCCTGAGGAAAGTGATTATATCTTGCATGTTTTTGGTATTACATGTATACAATCTCCAGAATCATAACTGACTAGTTAGTTATTTACACCATTCAATACCAAATAAAAGGTCCAGTTTACTGTAAAGATTATACCACTCAGTAACCAACCAGAGAAGAGTTAGAGAGATCTTACTAAAGAATTAGAGAGATCCATGCTGTTTTATGGAGGTTGCTTTTTTCTGTTTCATTACTGTGCCAATAATCACTTTGCATTTGGCATCCCACTAAGAGCGTAAGGAAAATTCTGAGGAGCCATATTTACCTTTGCCAACATCTCCATAAATTAGCCTCTTTATTAGAGAGGAGTCATAGCTGGAGTTGATATTCAGAAACTTTCAGAATTTCAAATAAAATGGTTTGCCCATCAGTTTGATTCCTTCTGCCCTCCTGCCTTTTGCCTTTCTGAGCCACCATTTGAGTAGAAATGCATACAGGTGTTGCCAACAGTTGCTCATCCAACAATAGGTGTCACTAGGTGACAGCATCTGTAGATTAAGGGTTAGTCTATGGTGGTGACAGAGTGAAAAATTTAAAAAAAAAATGGATTCTATAGGCTTTAGTTTTAGTGGAGATAGAGACCTAGAGGTAGAGCTGGGAATGGCTATTCTCCAGTCAAGTGGATTCACATGTTCACTGATCTCCACTGCCCACTGAGTCACAGTGTCTGGGGACAGTTAAGAGTGAACATCTCGCTGGCGCCGTGATATAAAACCCTGGGACGCTTTGCCTAATGGGTACCTGTAAAATGGTATAAGTCCAAATGCAAGTTTCAATGCTATAATCTCACAAAGGAATGAAATATTACCAGCTATCACCCTTGATAACAATTAATTCTCCCGTCCCATTTTTGAAAGGGTTTCAGTTCTGAATCTACTTTCCTCCCATCAGATAGAGTATGAGATATGCTGAGATGAGATTGTTAAAGCTTGGACTGTAGAATTTTATCTAGCCATCTGAGTCACTCAGAAAGCCCCAAGCACTCTCCTTTTACATGTATTATAATAAAACAAATTATTCTGGTGTCGCAGACCTTGAATACCTACTAACCTTGATAAGCACTTACATCTAAACAAAAAGAGAATCAATTTGCATTTTCCTTTCTGCTGGCTAACATAATGCTTCATTTTACAGTTGCCATTAAGGGTTATTGCTATCTTTACATACCACATTAGGCAGTTTGTGTCCATTGTTCCTGCATAGTTCCATCAGAATGTTTCAGGTTGAAGGCATTTTCACAATGATGTGGCTTTTGTCCTGTCCCCATGCTATTATCGTGAATGTGTTTATCCCAACAGGTCTCTTCAAGACTTGAACACTGTCCTCTGTGAAAGCATGTCAGTCATCACCTACACTTATAATCAGAATTAACAATGCTCAAGGTCTCAGAATGCGTGTGTGCACACACATGCATATACACGTGCATGCACAGAGCTTACCTGGGTGGCCTGATAGGTAAATCTGCAAAGCTTCCTGGAGTGATCTTAAATGAATTGCAATCTGCATAGGCCAAAGAAATCCCTTGGAAAAGCCACTGAATTCTAAAGCATCTCTCCAGACTGACAAATTCTTCAAACAATGCCAGGCTCAGGCTTTGAATTATCATTTTCTGCTCTGATCTATGGCCTCTTGATATTCTGGGGCAGAGGAAATAAACCACAGGCATTTGTTAACCAAACATCTGTGTATGGGAAGAAATGGGAAACATGCTCCTCCAGGAAACCACAAATACTTGAGTTGGAATAATTGAGAAATGGCCACTGGCAGGTAGGGTAACACAATTATTATAGATGGAACCTTTGGGGAGTACAAACAAAGTCTTCGCCTGGAAGACAGAGGCCTTCAGTGAAAAAGAATGATCACCAAAGACCCACTTCACAGCATACAGGCTGTGGTTGTGGAGGAGCCTTCAAACATTGACAAATAGCTTGGGCAGAGATCAAAAATTAAAGCATGAAATATTGATATTTTAAAATTGAGTTTTCACAATAAAAAAAACATTTTTTTTCTGATACAGTTGGCAACCACATTTCAGTATTTGTACAGCTAGTTTTTATTCTGCATGAGTTCCATATTCTTTTTTTTTTATGTCCTGGTTCCATTTGAAATCAATAAAGAATATGTCTGGAATACTTTTAAAATTTGTAAAAAGAATGGATCTTTGAATACCAAATAATTAATCTCTTCATTACTAATTAACCACATCATGTCACGAAGGAACTCGATTCTAAGACCCTAATGGACAGGTAAACATCTTTAAAATTTGTCCAGTGCTTTGTGTGATATATATACGTAATGATGATGGAAGAGAGTCTGATAAATAAAAATAGCATAAACACTGGCAGAGTTATTGATCCTTGGAATATATGAGAGTCCTCCAAAGAGTTTAAAAATATAATAACACTCCACTCAGAAACTACTGGCAGATACTTATGTGTAGTCCAGTGAAAAGGGAGAAAACACCAGTTTATAAAACAAAAAAAAAAAAATGTGATCATTTGTCTGCTGTCTGGACTAAGCTCTGGGAAAAAAAAAAGAAAAAGAAAAAGATGAATGAAGCCTCGTGCCTGTCCAGGATAGGTTGATAAGAGATCAAAAACCATCAAACAGAAAGTCATCAATTTCTCTGAATAAGATTGAGAGTCATTTCAAGATCACCATCTCTTTAACCCTCATGATTTTTCTGTGAACCCAATAGTGTTTATAATCTTAGTTTGACTTTGGGACCTTTTGGAACTCTGGGAGATGGTTTTTGAATTAGCAGGAAGTCTCAGTGTGGAATCCTTGCCCTGCTCCTCACTTCTAACATCGGGGACAGCTGTGATTTTCCACAGCATCTACACAACAGAGTAGAGCCCTTGGGTATTTCTACATCCTTCCCCAAAGAACGCAAGACCTAGGCGAACCTCCTTAATTGAACTGTGCTTGCCACTACACCTCCAAGCTCCAAAGCAGGTCAGCCAGTCAGCCACACCATAGAAAGATTGGAAGGACATCTATGGAATTCCATAAATTGCAGTGCAAAGAATCTGAAGACCAAGCCACTGTTGTACAAATTCTTCTAGGCCCACAGTGCATCCTCTCACTACAAAGACAAATTAAATCTTACTGAAGAAAGTGGAAAAGCAATTGCTATGGAAAAATGGGAATGATTTTTTTTTTCCAGAAATAAAAACATTCTCATGACTGGCAGCTCCACCCAAAGGACTTTAAAATAAAATTAAAAACAAATTAGAAAATGCTTAGGGAAGAATATTTGTATTATCCAAAACTTTTCCTTTTACAAAGAATTCCCTACAGAATTCTTCTAAATGTTAAACTCCCCTGGTGACTTTAAATGGTTGTTTACAGATCATTAGCTACTCCTGGAAAGGCTGGTGTAGAAAACCTGCCAGAGTATGAGAATCTCCCATTGATTAACCCGAATTTAAGAGAAGGTTGCCTGAGATGGATGGAATTCAGTTTGCCGGAAATGAATTTTTGTCACCAATTTCAGAATGTAAAATTGATCACATACAAGATTTCTTTCTAATGGACAGAGCTCAAGTTTTAACATTATTTTAGTGCTGAAATATTTGGGCATTATATGTGAATATTTAAAAAATAACTCAATATTGAGGATTGAACCCAGGGGCACTCTTCCATTGGGCTACATCCCCACCCCTTTTTATTTTATTTTGAGATAGGGTCTCACTAAATTGCCCAGGCTGGCCTTGAACTTACGAACCTCTTGCATCTGTGACCCAAATCTCTTGGATTACAGGTTTACAGAGTCACATTTGGCCACAAATACTAAAATTGAACAACCTATTAACCAAGTGTTAGCATTTAGGGGTTTTTAAAGGTTTTTGTGATTCAATAAATAACATTATTATGAAATGCACAGTTTTGTCTATATTTCTGCTTGATTCCTCAGAGTGACTTGTAAAGTAGAATTAATAGATAAAATCCCCAAAATGTGCAATATTTTTGATACAAATTGTTCAAACATTTTTCAGACAGGTAGTTTCAACAAATTTCCTTTACCACAAGTTATTCTTACTGCTTCTTCATCAGAAATGAATATGAATAGTTTGAAAATGATTCCTAAAGTTTTAGTTGGAGACATCATGTTAGTTGTTTATTTGAAAATAATTTGATTACAAAATTAAATGCATTTATTATCATAGTTCTTTGTATTTCTCCCTGTAAACTAATTGCTTTTGTCTTGCCAATCTGGTGGGAATTTTAGTACTTTTCTTAATGATTTTTATGTGTTCTTTACACATTAAAGGCAGCATGTTAAAGACATTAACATATTAAAGTTATGAAAGTTTTCATATCAGTTATACATTTTTTTCACCTTAAGTGTTTGCATTTTAATTTTTCTTATGGAATTTTTAACATGTGCTTTTATACTTTTTTCCCATCAATTTTGGCTAACAAAATATTTTCTCCAGAAATTACAACTGAAAAAAATCACTTATGTTTTCTTCTATTGTTTTCATGGTGTATGAAGTACTTCTACCATCTGGATGAATAAGACTACTCATGATTTCTCACACTGTTTTCTCCTTCAGAGGGTGGAAATATAATAACCATTTTGCAGAGTTCTGGGCCTCTATAAAATGACATTTGAAAGTTCTCTGTTGTTAGAAGGTGATTAAAATGCAAGTTGAAGAATATTTACGATCATAGCTGACAGAATCTGATATGTCAAAATGAAAAAAATATATATAGTTGGCATATATCCTGACCAAGCAAAGCAGAACAACAACAACAAAAAAGACATCTTTGATGACTTTGAACAACACAGAAGTTAGTGTACTTAAGCCAAATGTGAAATAGCTAAATTTTATGAGCGATTTGAAACAAACTTGATGATGACCTTTACCCTTTTGTATTTGTTGCTTTTATTTTTGTTTGTCTCAAAATTCTCCTCAAATAACATGTAGTCAGAGGCTAATGTATCCCAGAGATGAAATGAATCTTCTAAACTCTTTGCATTTATGATCTCAGGAAAAGGTTTGCAATCCCACCAGCCCCTGGCCCCACTCCCATCTCACTGCTCTATTTAATGTGGTGTGGACTGTCTTCTCACATCCCCAGCTCCTATATGAATCATTTTCAGCATGGAGTTCTGATCATTATACACAAGGTCACTTTTTAATTAGAACAATATAGTAAAACATATGCTCAGAAGATAAATGAGGTACAAAGCTAGCTGTGCTACAGTGAACCCTTTTATTGGAAAGCCCTTAAAAATAATAAGCGTCATGTATAGTCCAGGGGCCTTTGCAACATATTTCAGTACAGCAAAGTGCCAGCCATCGTGAATGAATACCCTGTTATAGTGAACAATCATTTGGCAGCATAGGTTATTTTAATGGACACATCACTTTAAACGAAGCCTTCACCATCTGTTCTGCCCTCTAATTACAGATGCAAAAAGAACATAATTCACAATTGCATCATAAAAAAGTAAGATATAAGTGATTTAAATGCATGTGTATCTTCTTTATTCAATGCAGCATGCAGCTGTTATGTTGTTTTCATGTTTCAAACACAAATGAGGATAGAAATCGCTCTTCTTTTGAGGGAGTGAGTTCCCCACTGCAGGACATTTGGGGATGTGAATGAATGTAAAACTGTGTGTTCTTAGCACACTTTCATGTCACATAAGAGGCAAAGTGAGCCTGTAATGCACTCGGTGCATTACCACATCTGATAGAGTGCATGTTTGTGTTGAAACCTAATTTTCAGTTGGTTCCTTTCTAGGCATTGGTATTTCAGTGACTTCTCAGGTTAATGTACTTTGCCAAGAACCAATGAGTGGAGATGTGTAGGTAATAACAAAGGAACCCTCCTTCAGAATAAGTCGAGCCCACTGCTTACTCCAGAACCAGAGGCAACATCTGGCATGAACCCATGGAGTTCTTATATGAATCTATTCTGGCTTCCCAAGATTAACCCTCTGACAGAACTCCTTTCTTTTTTCCCTAATGTCTCAAAAATATTTCAAGACCCTCATATGGATTTACAATATACTGATTACTTGTTTAGGGGAAAATGTCTTGATCCGTGAACTTCTGGGTGAACTTCTGGGTGAACTTGATTCGTTATAGAAACTCTAAAACATCCACTGATCCTTGATACTGATCCAAATGTAATGTTTCCAGTACACAATTTTTCTTCTTAAAGAAAAAGTTTATTAAATTCATTCTATATATGCTCAATTTGCTTGCAAACAAAAAATGTAGGTAGTCAAATGAAATTTTAATAGAATTCATATTTCTTAGGGCTAACTGCTTGGGGGTGGTGCTCGAAAAATGCAAATAAATAGTTTAAAAACCAAATAGTGTAAAGTTCTATACTGTAACCCTTTCAGAAATAAGAAAATATTTCCCAGAAAAATTCTCTTACCTTCACTATGGTCTAGCTAAGAATGATGCAAACTTTGCATAGTTATTAAACAGGTGTTCTGAAGGTGTTTATTAAGTAGTTTTAAAAAATTCCTCCTCCCCCACCAATTTAATTTGCATTTCTAATTTGCCTAGCAATTATTCTGTCTTTGCAGATTAATTAGAAATAAACAATTGTTAGAATAGTCTCACTATCCAAATTATAATTATTCTATACAAAATGTACAATTTTAAAAGATCATGTACTATGTGTATATGCATTATAGCTGATGCAAAAACTTATCAATTGTTTATGGATATGTGTGTGTATGTGTATGTATAAACACAACAGAGATGATATTCAACAAAACATGCTTCATCCAGTTGAAATTTACAATTGGCAATGCTTTCCATTGGTCAATACCATTCGGAACTGATTGTTGATATTTTTCATGTTGCCTCTACACACCATTTACACAGAATTAAAGCATAATGTTAACCATGGTTACCTTTGAGTGGTTTTATCAGGAAAAAAGTGATCTGCATGTCACCCTTTCACATTTTAAAATTTATATTTATAATTTCTTGAATAATTGATAAAATATATAGTTTAAACAAACAAACCAAAAAAAAAGAAAGAAAGGAAAAACAGAAACAAAATTGAGTATGAAGTTACTCTGAACACTTTTCAACCTGTTGTTGAATATGTGTTTTTGTGAAACTCTGTTCTTATTGCTATAGACTTCCTTTATGATTTGCTTAGATCATGTATCAGTTAAAATATAAGTAACCAGTGGGTCTATTATATCAATTAATCCATGAAGTAACTTGATACTAACTATTATTTATTAAAATTATAAACATTTTCAGAACTATATGTAGCACACAATCAGAAATTTTCATCAAAATTATCTTACCAGTGTTTCAATGACACTGTTGTTCAAGAAAGTACTATAGGAATGCTTCTCTGTTTCTGAGATTCTTACACTTTAATTAGTAGCAATATGAGAGAAGTAAGCACAATACATTTAAAAATAAAAAGTATTAAATCATTTCAACTTTATTTCAAAATATTATTCTTCCACTTTTTCCTGACTATGAATTAAAATTTATAATAAATGAAGGACTAGGAAAACATGTTGCCTCCCTTTTATGGTTTAGATATGAAGTGTCCACCCAAAGTTCATGTGTGAGACCCTGCAAGGGGGTTTAGAGATGAAATAACTGGGTTATAAGAGCCTTAACCTAATCAATGTATTAATCCACTGATACAGATTAACTGGGTTGTAACTGTAGGCATACATGGTGTGGCTGTGGGGGGTGAGTCATTTGGGGTGTGTCTTTGGGGTATGTCTTTTGTTCATGGGGAGGAGAGTCAGTCTCTCTCTCTCTCTCTCTCTCTCTCTCTCTCTCTCTGCTTCCTGGTGCCATGTCCTGAGGTGCTTTCCTCTGTCATGCCCTTCTATCACGATGTTCTTCCTCATATCTGGCCCAGAGCAATGGAGTTGGTCATCTATGGGGAAAAAAAAAAAAAAACTCTGAAACTGTGAGCCCCCAAATAAACATTTCCTCTTCTAAAATTGTTCTTGTCATGTCTTTTGGTCACAGCAGCAAACAACAACAACAACAAAAAAAAAACTAACTAGAAAACTCCCCAATATTTTCATTGTATTTCTTTGAATATTCAGAGATCTGTTTAAGAATGTTTAAACTATCTTAAAAATGGGATGGGAGGAAACTTTGGAAAATAAAAAAAAAAGAAAATATGTTAACTGTCACTTTATTTTTTCTTTAAGTATTGGGGATCAAACAGAGAGCTTCATGCATGCTAGGCAAGTACTCTACCATTGAGTTATATCCTAAACCACCCTCCCCTTTCTTAAACTTAGCTGAGTGAGTATAACATTGAAATTCAGGGTATATGCTCAGTAATATTGGAATTGATCAAATATTAAAAATGAATGATTCCTGTGTGATCAACCCACACATATATTTTGGAAATATTCCATTTATTTTAAATTCTTCTTATTATAGTCAATAACTTTTACTAGAAAAAAATATGAATTACAGAAAACTTGAATGAAAAGAATCATGTGTTGATAAGTATCTGTGCTCAAGGCTATATTAGGAATTCATAAAAATAAAGTCAAGTAAATATTTCTGCACATGCAGCTTTCTGGATAAATCTGTTTAAATGGTTGTAATTCAAGTGAACATTTCTCCCTGTTCAAATATGTGTCATTTGACTCAGAAAGAAGAGATGGATAACTAACGAAATGTTTCATCTAAACTTTGTTTTTTATTTAAATAACGAATAACTTCTTTTTTAAAAAAATAATTGTTAGATGTATTCAAATTAAAGAACAAAATAATTTGTAAAAAATGGTTGCTGATCATCCATAAATTTAATTTTAGTTCTAATGGTTCAGGACTATTAATTTTCACTAACTTTAACATGAACTCAAAAAATAGTTGTATTTATTAAATGGCATGTAAATAGAATCCAGTTTTGAATCAAGGATATTGAATAGTATAAGATCAAGTTGGAGGTAAAAGGAGGTTTGTGCAGGGAGTATCACATACTTTCTTCAAGAAGAGGACACTGTACTACCCCTGAAAAATATTACATAAGATGCATGAGAAACAATGGTACCCAGTAGTACATTAATGAAGTGTATCCACTAAGTGTATGAAATCTAAGGCTATAAATCCTCTACTAAGGCCACACCACCAAGTGCAACATTGATGTTAGTTTAGGAACCATTCTCAACAGTGATGTTCACTGACAACTAGAAATGGAAGGACATGAGTGAAGATGATGTTGATGGTGATGATGGCGAAGATGACAACAATGACTTTTAAGACTTACATAGCACTATGATGTATTGGACTCTGTTATAATCACTTTGTTTTTTTAAATTTAATCCTACTTAATCCTTCCAATGAAAGTCACTGAAACTCTAACAAAGACACACTTATCAAGATGAGGAACTCCAGAGAACCATGATTCTGTGAAAATCTTTGGCAACTCACATCACCTTACCTATACCAGCTCTAATCCTTTCAATTGTAAACCAAACTCTGCTTAGCAAATAATTATGATTGGAATAAACAGAGAAAGACAGGTCCAAAAATATTTCATGATAAACTAAAAACAGAAAATATCATAATTTATTTTATATTGGCATATATCATAATTTACATTTATATTAGCGTATAAGTGTATATACTAACCTATTTTGTCCATGGGGAGGAGAGTCTTAACCTATTATTTTTTTTATTTTCCAAAGTTTCCTCCCATCCCATTTTTAAGATTGTTTTAACATTCTTAAACAGAAATAAATATATTGTATATACAATTAGTGTATACTAACCTATTTCCATATAAGCAGACTACCTTCAGGTATGTATCTAGAACAGTAGCAACCACAAAAGCTGAAACACAGGATCTCACTGCTCAAAACAAGAAAAAGTATTTTTAAGTAAATTGTTTCCACTTTGTGAAAAACACTAGGTTAGCCCCTATACAGGAGACAAAAAGAATTAATATTGATCCTCAAGGAGCTGATCACCCAGTTACAAACACAATCATGAACTCATAGAACTATAGTGATGTAAGACTGAACAATGTCACATTTTTAATTAATTAAATGAAAAATCCCCAGTCATTTTCCTCTATTTTATGACTTCTTTTTACAACTTTCTTCCAGCTAGATAGCTTATCTCTCCTGCTGGGATTTTGCAATTCTTTGGGACTTTATTAAAGCATGCACCTCTTTGTACTGAGCCTGTCAAAACCTCTGTTTTCACATCTGTGAGATACCAAGGACCAACCTCAGAGTGTTGCTGTAGAATTAAGTCAATGAAAAAAAAAAAGTACATAATATTTTCTGGCACATAGTGACAATCATTGATAACTACACCCATATTACTGCTCTTACTACTATTATTATTATCTACCTCCATACTCAACTTCTTGAGCAGCTTTATCATCCTCATGTGATCATTTTAATAATTCTAATAACTCCTAGAAGACTTCTCTGAATGTTTTATACTTTCTCAAATAGGAATGATGAAGCATACGGTAACTGCCAAAGGTTAAATTAGTATCTAAGGGAAAAGTGTTTATGGTTTCGTCATGGTCTCAAAGTAAACATACTGATGAAGGTGAGTTGAAATGTATCAGGGTCTCATTCTGGGTGAAAAAATGAGGTTAAGGGGGCTGGGGCTGTAGCTCAGTGGTAGAGTGCCTGCCTCACATGTGTGAGGCACTGGGTTCAATCCTCGGCATCACAGGAAAAATGAGTAAATAAATAAAGGTATTGTGTCCATCTGCAGCTAGAAAATATTTTTTTAAATGAGGTTAAGGCATTAGTCATTGAAGAGTAACTAGAAAAGAGTCCTGTATCAAAGAATAGTAGTATTAGGTCTATACAAAAAGTGTATGTGTGTGTGTGTGTGTGTGTGTGTGTGTGTGTGTGTGTGTTAGGTATAGTGGAAAAGGGAACTCATTTAGAGAGTTACTCCCCTGTTTAGGTATGAAAATCTGAGAACCTCTACTAATTGGGGTAATAGTTATAAGATAAAAATCAGACTATAAGAGAAAAAAATTACAACCGGTTTAGATTACTGCTAACATCTAAAAGAAAAAATAATATTCAGAGGTGGAGGTAAGGTTTTGGGTTTGGACAGGAAAGAACAATTCAGATGAGAAAAGAAAAGAGAAAACAAGCTCATTTTCCTAAATGGGACCAGGACATGCATTTGAGATAAACAAAATTTAAGGTTTACAGGTTGTCAGATTGAACTTGTTTGCAATTTATTATCATGTGAGGCTGAATCTCTACCTAGAGAACTAGAAACAACTAACTCCCTAATTCAACTGGTCCTTGTCCTTTGTAAAGTTGGCATCAAGGTACATAAGTAATCAAAGGCCTTCAGCAAAGTATCTTGGTGCCCACATTAGTGAGGAGAGGGACAAAAACCAATTCAGCCACTCTTTTTTTATGATTATACAACCATGGCCTTGGGTCTACTTGGTTTCTTTGCACAGAGAGAGTTCTTTGGTGTTGAGATCAAAAATAGTCTTATCCTTTAATCTGCAGCAGTATTCTATCTTTGGAAGCAAATGAGTGAGGGACACAGAAAGGCATTGCCAGCTCAATACAATTCCCAGTAAATCGACAAGAGTTACGTGTGTTTCTACAGACTACATTGGTATGCAGGCAAATAGATCAAGGTACCCAAATTTGACCTAATATACAGGTTTCATATTATGCAAAGAGAAATAATTTTTTTTCAAAATGTAAGACCTTCAACAAGCCAGAAAACAAGTGTTTATTTAAAATATATTTTTTAGCTCTGATTCAGAGGAAAGACACCAGCCAATAACTGAATACCCACGAGGTCATCCACATGCTGAAGTCCCTTCCAGGAAAATTGGTTTATAACAGTAAGTTTACAAAACTATGTGTCCCCAAGTAGAGCTAAGAAAACTCCAAGGAGTATTCATTCCAATTCCATGACACAGCTCTAAATATAGAGCAGGGGAAATGCTTGTTCATGAAGACACATCAGATTCACTGGCCTTTCTAGATGTGGTACCAATGATACCTTAACTGAGATTATGCTCTTCCCTGTCCGGTTTTCTACAGCACTGTCTTGTTTGTTTTCTTTAATTACTTATGATCCAGGTCACTATTAGAAGCTGGGGACCAAGAGAAAATACTTATTTAGATATACATCTAGTTTGCCTGGTTTTTGTTTGTTTGTTTTTAAAGAGAGAGAGAGAGAATTTTTTTAATATTTATTTTTCAGTTTTTGGTGGACACAATATCTTTATTTTATTTTTATGTGGTGCTGAGGATCTAACCCAACGCCCCGCTCATGCCAGGTGAGCATGTTACCACTTGAGCCACATCCCCAGCCCCTAGTTTGCCTCTTTTACAAATAAGAAAACGGAAACGTGTAAATTTTTGCCCAAACTCTATTAAGAGAACACTGACTAGGACTATGGTCTTTCCAGAACCCAACCCATTTCTCAACTACCCTATTGCTTCTCATGTTGGAGATCTTCAGAAGAAAATATTGAGGGACTCTCTCAATCTTGGGATTTACAGGATAACTCATGAAGTTTGTTCCTGTTTGAGCTGGGCACAGGGAGGGTATGCTATAAAGGGGGGGAAAACAAGTCCAGCCACTTTTGTTGTGAGGAGATATTCTCAGAGTGTTCTCTATTTTATACATTCACTGGCACTGAAAACTTGTGTCACTGTGTACCCTCTGCAGAAGCATGGGCTAGAAGAGATACAGACACAGAAAAGCATAGAAAATTTTCCAGTAGCTCATGTCTCATCATCTCACGAGAAATTCCCTAGATGCAGCCCTTACCTTCTCTCTTTCCTTCTCCTCCTCACTGGGGCTGCTGTTTGTACATCTTCAGCTATTTTTTTCTCTGCTAAAATAAAATAAAATAACGTCAGCTCTTCATGTATGAAAGCTGCCAAATGATGCTATATATTCAAGAGCCCAGAGGATGGTGGAACTAAAGACCCAGTGGTCCTAGGAAGAGGAAGGAAGCAGTGGGCCAGGCAGAGGCAGAAGGGCATAATTGGGTTCACACTACTGTCTTCCTAGCAACCAGATCTGGAATGTGAAAATTGGAGTGGTAAATTTCTGAAATAATCAAAGCTTTACTTAAGTATAATGAATCTAAATATATCTTAAAATAATGAATTCAGTGATTCTGAAAGAAAAAACAAAAGAAAATTACCTTCTTCAAAATTGAATATGTTTACTAATAAGTCCAAGTTAGTATCACATTACATTCAAAAGCTAACCGTGATAAACTGAAAACAAATGTTTTAAGTTCATGAGGTGATGCACTGGCCTCAGTATCCTTCTAAAGAGAAGGTTAAACTGGTCAGTACTATATTTCCAAGAAACAGGTTTCCCAACTTACAACTATTTGGCTTTAGGTAGGCATGCTTACTTGAAAAATTCATAGAAAGTATCAAATATTAAATGCTTTCCCACCAAATGAGATACCTTCAAATTTTAACCTCAAGTAAAGTTCTCTAGAATGCCATTGTAGTAGAGTTGTATAGAACGGAATTTTTAAAATAGTCTGAATCAGTAATTTCTAAAATATATGTTCAAAAGTTAAACAAATATTGAGTGATCATAACCGGAAGAAGACTCTAAACTGGTGAACTTGAAGTGGAATGGAAGGAAACCCAGCTAAATATTAAAATCAGCTGATATGTATCTGAGTTTCAGTGTTGGTGTTTAAATAGAACATTCCTCGGGCATTTATGTCTCAGTTCTGATGTTTCTTCAGCCTGGGTGGAAGAAGACTAAGGGTATTTGAGCTTTCACATTTCCCTCTCTGCACATAAAACACTTAGATAGCTCTTTGGGTCTGGGTGCTCTAAACTCTCAGAATCTACTCTGGATACAGAGAGGCCTAAAGGGAGACAGATGCTTATGTCTGGGGATAGCTCAGATATTACCTTTCAGGAAGCCTCTTCAGAAAGTGAGAAGAGAGATCCAAAGTGGCAATCTGCAGTCAGAGGATTCACATTCAAGCAGGGTGATGCTCTTCAGCCAATCCAACTTGGTCATAACCCATCAAAGCCAATTGGGTTCCATGTTCTGTATTTCAAATCCTGACATAAAATGCAATAGTACAAAAGTTTTATCTATGCTGACACCCAGATAGCTACAAATGAATAATAATAACAGTCACATGCAATGGATCACAGAGCTGATGTGGTTCAGCCATTAGCACCTAAAACACTTGAATTCTCACCTTCTACTTAACGTTGCTTGTTTTAAAGTCGTATTACCAAAACATTCTCAGGAAAGCACTATATTTTTTGGTCTTGTGATAATCAAAAGTACTGTGGTGGTTTTTTTTTTAATCTTTTAAATCATACAATTGCACACATTTTCAGTCTTGCTTCCTGAGTTCATTTTTTTCCCCTTTAGGACCATTTCCAAAGATCTCAAGAAAATGAAAGAAACCACTGTGCGCAAGCTGGAATGCATGAAAACCATACCATCTCCTCCTAGAGGGCAAGGAACAGATCCCACAACTCTGTACTTGTCCCTCCTCTACCCCCTCAAGCCACATTTCCCTTCTGCACCCGCATAGCTTCCCCAGCCCCAGTCTGGCCTTGCTCCCTGGCAAAGGGGACGGTAGTTATATCTCCTGGGGCCAGGATGTGAGGCCTGGGAGGAAATGTTGTCTTTTGGGAAATAGCAAAATTGTGTGACTACATTAAAGTCAACACTATTTATCTTCACCTCTTGTCCTATGGGCTGACAAAGGGACACCACTGTTAGGCCCAGCCCCCGTGCACAGCTGCAATAGAAAGAAGGCAGGGACTGGTACTTTCAAGTGTCAGACCTTTTGTGCTGACTACTAGTTTATGAGGCTGATGTCAAGCATTGCAGTCAATGAAGTCTTTGTGCTAGGTGTACAGGGCAGGACAGTGGAAAAACTGCCCTCTCCTATATCCCAGGCCCATCCATCTTCCCCTCACCCTGTTTCTCAACTTTTCTGTCTCTTGAGCAGACAGAGAGAGGATCCCTCCTGGGTTAATGTACTGGAAAATTGCTCTGCATGTTTATGAGGGGGTCCCTTCCAAATGAAAGAAAAAAGGAAAGGGAAAAAAAAATGGGAAGAAGAGTCATTTTTCCCACTGAACTCATTGGCCTTAAGCTTGTGGGTCTGACCCTGATTAAGAAAATCTCAATGTCCTGCTAGGAGGTTTATTGTGAAGTTTGGCAGAACGCACTTCCGATTGAATTTTTTTATTATTTATAATCACAAAGTGGTTTTGGACAGCTCTCATCACCCACCCCACCACCAGCTCCTTGGACTCCAAAGGCACAGCATACATGAACACACACACACACACACACACACACACACGCACGCACACACGCACACACACACGCTCGGGTCCAAGCCCTTACCTTTGAAGAGGCCTCATCCACTCACATCCCTGGATCTATTCTCTTCCTCAGAGGAGCTGCTTTCCCCAAGGCAATACCCTATAAATAGCAAACATGCTGTTTTCCTACAATTGCGTGGAACATTGGACCATGTGAACTTTGCCATGGACGGATGTGGAAACCAGAGAAGGCTGCGTTACGTGATATCACTCACTTGCTTATTTTAACTTTTTTTTTTCTAGCTAAAAATAATATTCTTTATCTCTAACCTCCTCCCCCATTCCTGTGTATTATTCTTCTACAGGAGATTTTAGCCTAAAACAAAATGTCACATGAGTGGTTAAGACATCATCATCTATGTATGCTCCTGAAATGAAGGCCTGTAGTGGCACTAGGAGATTTTTCTAAAACCCAGCTGAGTTCTTCCAGTAACTTTCATGCAAAAGTCATGGGAAATGAGAACAAGGAAGTGTGAGAAATTACAGCCATTGTAAAACATGCTTTTTAGAAACCAGTAGACACACAGCAAGTATTCTTGAAAATGAAGAAAAAATAATAATTTAGCAGCCTGGTGCATTTTTTTCTTCCTTCAGCCAGTTTTATTTGATGCTTCTGTAGATTATTAATTTAGCTGGAGAAATTAGAGGTGGAAGATATTTACACAGGAAGACTCCACTTCTCTGGTAACAGGGAAAAAATATAACCAGATTTTTTTGAAAGCATAGAAATGATTCAAACAAATAAGTTTAATAAAGAGATGGAGTCAATGTTCAGTCTTCAATTGCCGTGGGATTATGAGTTCTATCCTCCCTTTGAGTTCAGGACACCAACATTTGAGATACAAATGACACAAAAAGTTATGATTTCCTGGTACATGAATGGTCAAGTTATTTCTCCTGTTAGGAGGTTTCCTAACAAATGTGGCAGCACACAATCAGATCTGTTTTGTTTTCTTTTGTTTCTATTTAAGATGCAAAATGTTGAGAAGTTTTTGTTAAATGCTTTGATTCTAGCACACGAAGAATTCCCTCTTCTCCTGCTTCAATCTTTCCCAGTACGTACTTTTCACCCAGATTTTTCCCAATCAAAATCTTTCTTTTTGGCAGTTTCAAACTTTGTTCTACTACTAACCATGGGCTCATATAAATATTCTGCAAGATTATAAAAAGAAATGGGGTGAAGCTGACAAATCTTGCCCAGGAGAGTGGGGGGCAGCCATGAAGTCAAAACACACATTAGCAGGGTCCCCTAATCTCTTAGCTGGCCCCCTTTTGTAGAAGGAGGTCAGCAGTGTTGGGTCCCCAGGCCTGCTCCCTGAAGGCCCTTAATAAGCAGATGTTACTGTAACGTGCTCCGGGAATCAAGCATAAATATGACCCTTGACCCCGCTTGTCAGCTGATCCACTGAGTCTCTTAGAAATATACTCTTCACTTTTCTAAACGCCCACTCTTTCCCACCATCCCCCTCTGCTCAGCCGGGCGCCCCTGCCTGGATTTCTATGCCTGTGGCTCCTGCTCTGGAGCTTGCACACTTGCCCGCAGTATGACCTTTCTCTTCACAGAGGTCAAAGGCCTAAGACCTCAGGCCGGCCTCTTTTCTTGCTGAAGGCCAGCTGATGAATCATTCCCAACTTGAAGGGAACAGAGGAAAGGGGAGGGCTCTGAAGTCCTTTTGAGAGAAACAACTGTGGTCTATACATCAGCATTTACACAGTTCTGACACTTCCAAAACTCAGGCTCCTCTCTGGGAACCACAGAAAGAAGGGACCAGAGGCTGCATGGAGAGTTCTCCCTGCCTAGGTTGGAGAAACAAAGATGATGTGTGTGCTTACCCCTTTTCAATGAATTTGATCAAGAGGACTTTGATGAATTATTCAAAACTCTCTTGCTTATCATTCAGAAAAAAATATTGGTGATTAATTTTTTTTTAAGGAAATTGTAACACATCTTCTCTAAGACAACTTGGGATAGGTAGATTGAGTAGTGAGGAATGGGGTTGGAAGCTGTGATAGCTCCCTAAATTACCTGTGATGCTGTTATTGTTAATTTTTTCATTGTTCTGTTCTTCCTATCATGTTCTGATTTTGACATTTAATCTGTGAGCAGTGTGTATTTGAACCCACATCTTTTCACAGAATCTTCAGTAGCTTTACAGAGCAGCTTAGGGAATATCACTAAGGAACATGGGAATGCTAGAGGTGGGGTGGACCAGCTGACTGCTCCAGTTCCCAAATGAGAGGAGCCCCCAGACAACTCCCACCAGTAGCCCTAAGGAAGGCTGCCTGCATTGGAACCAGATTTGGTGGTTTGGAATCCACCAATTTACAGACAATAACTGTGGTGGTTCTCTTTATCACTTTAAAATGTTCATAAAGAACTAAAGAACCAGCTACCCACCCAACATCATGTGGGTCAGAAGAAAAAAAGATGGATTCAGTTTGTGTTTATCAAAGCTTTTAAAAAAATAGTTTCATAAATACCTTTGTTGCTGTCAAATTTTTTGCATTAAAACGTTTCTAATAAGTCGTAAAAGTTGAAAATAGAGATTGTATTTCCATCTTTGCCCAGACAATATGTTAGTGTACATAAATACTCTTTATTGTTTGCTCCCTCAGTCCTTTTAATTTTTGTTCTTTCTATATTTCTGTTTTTCTATTTTGTGTGTAGGGAAGCAGTTGTCAGTGATAAAATATCTGGGATATTATTTTTTAGGTCTTAGTGTAAAGATAGTGAAAGAACTAGTTGCATCTCTATTGCTGGGGTGATGGCACCCTTTCTATTCCTGCATCTGTAGCTTTCTTCTGCCACCATCCAGGTTCTTCAGAATTCACTTCCAAACATCAGACTATGACTGACTGACTATCTTCTGTTGCTTCTTTGCTGCCATCAACTCAGGAGGTTTCAGATTGACTACTCAGCAGCATTTTTATATAATGCATATTTCAGGGCTGAAACTCATTTTCAATAAATGTTAATATCTATGGATTTATTCTGGGGGATATGTATGTTTTATACAGAGTACAGGCAATTCCACTTAAAAAATAATTACTCTAATTAACAAATAAAAATCATGTATATGTATTGTATAATGCAAGATGTTTCCAAATAAGTGTATATTGTGGAACAGTTAAATCTGGTTAATTAACAGATGCATTACCTCACATTGTTAGCATTTTTTGTGTAAGAGCACTTAAAATCAATTTTCCACTTCATTTTGGTGAAAAAAAAAATAGCATTGCTTCGTCTTTTTCTTAGGCAAATGACTCCCTGTTAGGTGTCTTGACCCAAGATTCAGTTCTCCATCAGCATATTTCAGAGCTCTTCCTCCTCTGCCTCTTTTTTTTTCTCTTGTCTTATCAGCATTCACTGGTAATTTGAAAATCTCCTAACTTGGAACACAACTGTAATCCAGTTATTGTTGATCTTATCTTGAAGTCACATGACTATCAGACTTTAAAATTTCTATTTACCTACCTCATAGAGATGAACATTGCCTATTCTTTTCAATTTTAAAAAGTGACACAAAGGTTACAAAGATACAACATAAACATACCTGATGAGAGAAGATCAGTCAGTAGACAGAAAAACATAAAACAAGAAAATAAATGGAGAGTGTCACCCCAGAGGTGCCCACCAACTTTTAGGAGAGCTTAGCAGATAATAGTACTGTTGGAATTATGTCTTAAGCAAGAGATATTTGTAAAATGTCTTAAACCCACAGAGATATCTGTAAAATATCCCACTAGAACCAAGAAAACAAAAGCATGAGGCAGAAGAGACAATTAAGGATTGTTAGGAAGCTTGATCACATAAAAGAACTCAGAAAAAAAAGAGGCCAAGCAGAAAAAGGTTGAAATATAGTAATCATCCAAAGTTGAGAAACTGTGAAATCAACATATCTGAATGGATCAAATGCCTCAAACAAGACAATTATATGTAGCTCCTGAGTCAATTCAAATTCTTACACTAAATTTTTGATCACCTAACCCCAGGAAATTTCCAATTGATAAGTTGGTAGAATCAAGATCTAGTCATCGCTTTTTTAATTTTTTGTTTGCTTGTTTGTTTTTGGTGGGGGGAGGTACTAGGGATTGGAGCCAGGGGCACTGACCCACTGAGTCACATCCACAGTCCCCTTTTTTATTTTTATTTTTATCCTTTTAATTTAGTGACAGGGTCTCCCTGAGCTGTGGAAGCTGGCTTTGAATTTGTGATCCTTCTGCCTCAACCTCCCCAGCTGAT